GGGCCTGTGCGGACCCGAGGCCTGGAGAGCCACCTCAGCAGGAGTCATGGAAGGGCTCAGAGTCCCGGTTGCTCGCTTGGGTGTCCAAGCCACGGCTTCTCTTCTGGTACTTAATCGTGCCAATGCCTTGGAAGGTTTTTGTTGGCGGCTGGGGTAACTGCACGGTGTTGTACTGGAAACCATTTTGGGTGTCCTGTGTAGCAAACATGGCAGCATCGAAAGGCCACGTGCAGAGAATGTGGGTTGGGTTTTTTTAATCCTACCCTAGAGGAAAACAAGACATGCAAAACATTTATCTTTAAAACACTTCTACCTGAAAAATTGCGCTGGAAAGAGCTATAGCGACTTCTAGGGTGTTTTGGGATTCCGAGCTGACAGCTGGAGAGACCTCTCTTGGAGCGGAGCCCTGGGCAAGCCAACACAGTAACACTGCAGGATACCTCCTGAGTTCCACCATTGCCTTCCTATAAACGTACTTCCTGTAAATTTCCAACAGCTATGGTTCAAAAAAAGCTCCACGTGATGTTGTTTGCACCCCTTTGTATCCCCACTATAATATGGCTGAGTATAGCTCAATAAATATCCCTTATTAATAGATGTGCTTCTATGTATTATAGCCCTACATGTTGTTCTGCTTCCCCACTGCCCATCGGCTTTATGGCTTCCAGATATTGCAGATGTGTTATGCCTCTTCACCACCCCTCACTGCCCTTCTCCATAGGGAAAGTTTCAGGCTCTTCTCAGTAGCAAACTGCAGCTTGAGCCACCATATTTTAAGACTTGGCTCAAAGCTTTGCCTGGACAGGCAAAATGGGGTCATTCATCTAAAGACCTAAACGACTGACAGTTCTGCAAAACAAAGAGCTCTTGGGGGCTAGATAGGGGTACTAAATACAAGTAATTAGATCCACATGCTCCATTTCTAAGGGTTGTTTTGAGAGCTGGGGGTTTGGCTTGGCATGAGGTAATCCCTAAGAATAGACATGGTGCTAATTGAACAGACAGCTCTACGGGCAGAGAGATAATGGGTGTGACAGAAGAACTGTAGGCCAAAAGGGAAGCAGCAGGCTGGACCCGAACTGGACAGTCAGCCTGTCCTTTCATGCCTGTTTAGAAAATGAAAATAGAAATGTCTGAGCCTTTGTAGTTGTAAACAGTCTCAGCGATCTGCATGTTTTCTTCATCTTATGGGGACCCTGTTGTTTCCATCCATTTCAACTTTGTTACCCAACAGAACAGCACATGCAAAGGATTGTTTGGAGATGGATATTCTCTGCTTTTGAGTCGCATCATTTTGTGGTCCTGTCAGCCAATAAGCCTTGATTTTGGGGTAGACCATAAGAAAATATCACTAGATGTTTTTCCAGTTTCCCCAAGAGCTAAGGAATGATTTACCAAGTGGACATGATAAGACACATGCATTATAGAGGTGGGAAGAAAATACATGCTGAATTTTTGCCTCTCTGCAAAGGTGCTAACATAACACTAGCTTTTCATACCCTTTGGCTGTTTACAGAGCAAACTAATAGCCTGATCTGCAAAAGGCCTCTTGAAAACAAGCACTTAACAGGCCAGTGGGATGTAGTTTGCATTTCACAGCTGAAGTTTGCAATTCATAGCTGAAAAGACAGAGGATGCATCAGGTCCCCCTCTTGGCTGTTCATTGCTCAGCTGCTTGATCCACTTATCTGGTGGGTGAAAAGTGACAAGACAGGATGTACAGTCTGCACCTGGCTTGTAGATTGTGGCCTGTATTTCTCACTTCCTAAGGGACTACCAAACAAGCCTGCTTTTCCTTTTCACTGTCTTCACCATAGCCCAAATGATTTGGCTCGAGTCAGCTTTGTTCACTGTTTGCTCTTGCATACGTTCAGTTCTCATGGCATCACAAACGGTACCTCTTTGCTTTATGGCAATTGCTGAACTTTGCGGAGGGAGGGGTCAGAGGCACAGAAAACAAATCTTGAACTCTGGAGAGAAACTATGAAAGCTGGAAGAGTGCGCAGGGAGCTGATTACTTAACACAGCCTTGAGTGTGGAACTGGTAACTTCTTGCGTTGTGGTTGTTTTTACTTACGTGTTTTATCACTACCCGGTTGGTCATCTGACTCACCAGCATTCTCCCTGTCTACTGGAGCACAATGACTGAACATCCTGCTTGAACCAAGTGATGGAACAGCTTGTATTGCTTATTACTCTCAACAGGGATTGTACCTTAATCTATGGCTGGATACCACCTCGGATGATTGCCATCAGAAGGATAAGAAAAATAATTTGCACTAGTTTTGCATGAACAGTACTGTTCAAATGTGTACAGCCCAAAGCACTGGATACTTCTGGACACTAGGCATCAGGCCATAAACTATTATCAACTACAGCTGATGGTAACCAAAGGTTTCTAGAGGCTGTGGCTGTTCTTATTGCAGTTGATACCATTTCACTGTTTAGCTAGACTGAAGGCCAAAAAGTTAAAAGATGTGTCCTGTGCTTGTACTGTGATTGTTCTTCACTCATTAGTTTTTTTTTAATTTTGATTCAGGTTAGACTATAGTTTAGACCCAAGAGCTTGTTTGACCCTGACAGCTTGAGTACAGAGGCAAGAAAGGATTGTTGGTTTTGAATGTGAAGAAGCAGACTTTCGCCCTTTTACTTGAAAGCCTATTCTGTTGGGAATGGCAAGAAATCTACCCACAGCTTTCTTCATCTAGGTTTGGCTCAACACCCAAAAGAGAAGTGAAAAACTATCTTTTCAATGGAAGATGACAGAGAACCTGAACAGAGCCCCTGAGCTCTGGTATATGTACCAGATATCTGTCTGAGGAATGTCTTCCATTGGTCAGACAACAGGGACAGATCTCATGCTGCCTTGGTCTGTAAAAAATGGAATTGGGTCATGCACTCGGGATCCCTCTGGAGAAGTAAAACCATAACATTTTATGGCCGACCATCAAGGGAAGACACATTGGAATTGCAACGTGCACTGTGGTATGTCAAGAAATTTGCCAAGTATTTGGAGCGCCTGGAGATCAAGTTATGGACTCCTTACAATACTGCCTTTACCCAAAAATTTCAAGTGACTTTGAGAGGTCTTCTTTCACACCTGGTCAATTGTAACAGTCACCTAGTACCCTGAGCATTGAGTACCTGGCATTAGACCACTTGATCTGGAAAAATGTGATCAGGGCTCAGTTTCTCAAGAACTTAGCTACCTTCTTGAAAAGAATGAGCAAACACCTTGATTATCTCAACTTAAAAAGAGGAAGAGTAACCTTGGAAGAAGGCTGTGAGCTTCTGAATTCTCTGAGCTGCTTGACAAATAAAAGCTTTGTATCTGAAATCAATATTGAGGATTTCTTCAGTCTCCACCTTCCTGTAAAAGGAACCTTGCACTTTGCAAAAATTCTTTGTCAGGAGATGATGTTTTCCATCAGTTTGGAGTGAAAAAAGTAAAACCTCAAGATTTTATTCAAAACCAAGGAATTTGGCTTCTCTAGATTCCTCATTAGTCACAAAGGCTTCTTTTCATGAGGGCTGAGCTGGCTCCATGTATGAGAGACATGACTGTCATTTTTTGCATACAGATCAGGATTTACAGAGCCTGACAAGAGACCAGTGAGGAGGATCAGCTGTTGTGCAATATTTACAGGAAATTCAAATACCTGATTGACTCAGAGCTTAATTATTTTGTCATCACCTACCCAATGGTGTAAACCACAGGAAGACAGTGATATCTGAAAGCAATGAACAGATCCTTTGGAGGGTATTAGTAAGGGATTTGAATCTTAACAGCAGTGCTTCTGAAAGGGACACACCATTACAGCAAGAGAAAGGCAAGGGACAATTTAACACTCCATGCGTTAAAATGTTGGCCTTGGGAACCAGCCTCCTAAGTCTCCAGAATCATTTATTCTTGCCCTTGCTTTGCTTTTCCTTACCAGAACCCAAGGACACAGCGAGCCCTTTTCCACACTTACAGGCATCTCTAGGAAAAATAAGGCCCTCCTCTTTTTTCATCATTTCTCATGGTAGAGCTTCAAACACCTTACCAATGAAGTCCATCTCGTCATTTCCATTGTACAAATAGGGAAACAGACATGGGGTGAGGAAGTGATTAGCCCAAAGTCAGCCTTGGCTTGATCTTGATTCATATGCAGTCAGATGCACTATCCAGTGTATCACCAGTCCCAACATCCTGTTAAGTCTGATATACAGCCTGTGCCTAGTTCTTAACAGCAGATGTTAAGAACAAAACATACCATGGCTAGTCCTGAGAGTCACCCCTCCCACTTGTCCAGCTTTCCAACAGGTGACTTATGAGGAAACTCCTGCTCTGACTTCCACAGCTTCTAGACCTTTCAATGCAAAAAGATAATGGTTGTACATGAGATAAATAACAGGGAAGAAGGGACATTTCTTCTTATTCTGGAATTTTATTGCCAAGTGGGAGATTTCATCAGGTGTTCTAGAGCATAGATAGCTGTGAAACAGGTAGCTGTAGGTACTAGATCTGTTTTAATTACCTTGCACAACTAGAACCATGACAGCATTGAGCCAAACCAATAAA